CTGTTATCTTGTAGTGCGCTTAGTTTTATTCTCACCCTTTTTCATCACCAAATGAATTTCGTGATAATTTTATTTTGTTCATATAAAAAAAACTATCCAGTTTTACTGGGACAGTTTGAAAAAGAAATAGTAGTCTTGGCAAGATGTTCATTTTGATGGTCGCAAACATTGATAATTGTATTTTCCCCCATTTTTCTAAATCCCTTTTTATTTCTTGTACCAATTTTACATAATTGTCTTCTTTTATTGTTGAACATCTTGCTGTGAGCCAAATTCCCAAATATTTAATTTTTTTAACAATTTGTACCCCCATTACTTCTACTAATTTCTTTTTTTGATTCCCTATTAAGTTTTTTGTTATCATTTTGGTTTTGTCTTTATTAATTGCTAAACCTGCCACTTCTCCATATCTCTCTATCTCTTTAATTAACTTTGGTCCTGTTTTTATTGGTTCTTGTACAAAGAATACAAGGTCGTCTGCAAAAGCTTGGACCTTGTATTTTTCTTATTTAATTCTTACTCCTTTTATTTCCAAGTTCAGTCGAATTCTTCTTAACAAGATTTCTAGCGTCATGATAAAGATCAGAGGTGAAAGTGGACATCCCTGCCTGACTCCTTTTCCTATCTCAAATGAATTTGTAATTTCTCCATTGACTATTATACATGCTTTTTGATTTGTATAAATTGACCCTAGCATTTTTTCAAATTTGTCCCCAAATTTCATCTCCTTTACTTGGTGCATCATGAATTACAAATTTGCTTTATTGAAAGCTTTTTGAGCATCCAGAAAAATTAATGCGATCTGTTTTTCTGGATGTGCCTCACAGTACTCCAAGATGTCTAGTACTGTCCTTGTATTGTTTTTTATTTGCCTTGTTGGTAGGAAACCATTTTGATCTGGATGTATGTTTCTGTTCAATATTTTTTTCAATCTATTGGCCATTATGTTCAAAAAATATTTTATAGTCAGCATTCAATAAAGACATTGGTCTATAGTTTTTTATGTTAGTGGTATCTGCACCCTCTTTTGATATTAATGTAATGTACGCTTCTCTCCAAAACATTGGAGCTTTGCCCCTGTAAGTACTTCATTGTAAATTTCTAAAAGAATTGGGTCAAATATTACACCTAATGTTTTATATATTTATACTGGTAGTCCATCTGTACCGGGGGTTTTATTGTTTTTTTGCTTGCTAATTGCCTCTTTTAGTTCCTCCTTAGTGATCTCTTCATTTAGTCTTTCCCTTTCTTCTTCTGTAAGAACTCGAATATTTTCTTCCTCTAAGTATTGTTTAATTTTCTCATCACTTGTTTCTTCTTGCTTATAGAGTTCACTAAAATATTCCAGTGCAATTTCTTTTTTCTTTTCTATGTTATTTTGTAACTTTCCCTCCTTATCATGTAGCTGCTGAATCCATCTTTTTTCTTTTTCCTTCCTTAATCTTCCCTAATCCTTAAATGCAAGCCACCTTCCCAGCTTATTTGCATTTTCAAAATAATTTTACTTTACCAATTTCAAGGGTCTCAAATTTCTTTCTTGTTCCAATATGTTCAATCTATGTTTAGCTAGACTACATTGATTTATAATTTGTTCATCCCCTAGTGCTAATAGTGCTTGTATTTTCAATTTTCTAATCTCGTTCTGTAATTCATTACTTTCTTTTCCTTTTTTCTTTCTGGAATTATATGCAATTGTTAATCCTCTCAGATAGGCCTTCGCTGTGTCCCACAGGTTCTATAAGGAAGTGTGTTCTTTTATATTCACTTCAAAAAACATTTCTAATTCTTTTTTTAAATTTTTTCTAGGTATTCTTTATCTCTCAGAATCTGTGGGTTCAACATTCATCTCCCTCTTTGTTTTTGTTGGCCTTTCCATGTTACTATTAATGGGCTATGATCTACCCACACCTTGGGTGCTATTTCTACTTGTGCTATATCCTTCACTAGAGTTTTGCTTATCCAAGCCATATCAATTCATGACCATGATTTATGGGGAATGGAGTAAAAGGTGAACTGCTTTTCTTTTGGATTATGTGTTCTCTAAATATCTGTTCAATTTTGTTCTTCTGCCATATTGAAAAAAGGTTTTTGGAAGGGTGCTTTTTTTTTAACTGGTATTTTGGTAATTCTTTTTTGTATCCACAACTGCATTAAAGTCCCCTATTATACAAATATCTTCTTTACTTAATTTTAGAATTTTCTCATGAATTTTTTAATAATACATTTCTTGTTGGTTGTTGGGTGCGTCTATTACAACTATTAGTAGTTTCCTCTGTTCCCCTATAATTTCTAACATTAATGTTCTACCTACTGAATCTATATAAAGTATTTCTGCTTTTATTCCTTCTCTAACATAAATTGCTACCCTCTTTTTTTTCTTCTGCTAGTGCTGCATAGAGTTTTCCCAATTTTTTATGTTGTAAATATTTTTTTATCCTGAGCTCTAATGTGTACCTCCTGGAAGTATACTATATCCATACTATATCCATCCATAAAAGAGGAGCTGGAGTTGCACTGTATGTAAAGGACCACTATATTGTTACAGAAATTCATGAAACCAAAGAGGAAAATCTCCTAGAATGCATACAGGTCAATAAAAAAGAAAAAGAAGTCCATATAAAAGAAAAAAGAATGACATGGCCATAAGTGCATATTATAGGCCACCCAATCAAGCAGAAAAATTGATGTCCTTTTTCCCAACCAACTAACAAACAGATGCAGGAAACATACAACAATAGTAATGGGAGATTTCAATTATCCTGATATCAATTGGAAAACTAATTCTGCACCAAGTGAAAAATCAAATAAGTTCCTAACCAACCTAGCTGACAACTTTGTTGTCCAAAAGGTAGAGGGTGAAACTAGAGGGACAGCCATACTAAACTTAATTCTTACTAACAGAGAAGAAGAGGGAGTTGAAACTGCAGGAACCTTGGGTGAGAGTGACCATGTCATACTAGAATACAAAATAACACAAACACAAGCAACAAAACATCATGATACCAGAGTCTTGGATTTTAAAAGAGCTGATTTTAATAAACTCAGAGAGAACTTGGGAAAGATTCCATGGATGAAAATCCTAAAGGGGAAAACAACTCAAGAATCTTGGGAAACTCTGAAAAGTACAATCATAGAAGCCCAGACCCACACTGAGAAAGAAAAACAAGAAATCCAAGAAGAAACCAGCATGGCTGCACAAAGATCTCTCTGGCAAATTGAAAGAAAAAAAGGACAAGTACAAAAAATGGAAAGAAGGACATACAAATAAGGCAGGATATCGGCAAATAGCCAGAATCTGCAAAGACAAAGTCAGGATAGCAAAGGCTCAGAATGAACAATGACTTGCAACAAAAGTCAAAGATAATTCTTCCAACATATAAATAACAAGAAAAAAATCAAGGAAACAGTCGGTCCACTAAAGAGAGAAGATGGCAAGGAAGAAACAGGCAACAGAGAGAAAGCAGAACTGCTTAACTCATTATTTGCTTCGGTCTTCACACAAAAACAAACTATAGCTCAACCCACCAAAAACATAACTAAAAGACAGACCAGAAATAAAAGTTAAAATAAGCAAAACAATAGTAAGAGAATGATCTTGATGAACACAAATCGCCGGGGCTGATGGATTACATCCCAGAGTTTAAAAGGAGCTGGCAGAGGTCATCTCAGAACCACTACACCATATCTTTCAAAAATCCTGGAGCACTGGGGAACTACCAGTGGATTTGAAAAGAGCTGATGTGGTTCCCGTCTTCAAAAAAGGAAAAAACACAGACCCAGGAATCTATAGACGAATCAGCCTAACATCAATACCCGGGAAGATACTGGAAAAGATAATTAAAAAACCAGAACTACCAACATCTAGAAACAAGTAAAATAATAACTAGCAGTCAGCATGGGTTTATTAAGAACAGATCATGCCAAACCAATCTTATTTCATTCTTCAACGTAGTGACTAAGTTAGTAGACCAGCAAAATATTGTGGACATAATATATTTAGATTTCAGCAAGGCATTTGACAAAGTAGATCACAACCTACTTCTCAGTAAGCTAGAAAAAAGGTGGAATAGATAGCATCACCACTAGATGGATTCACAACTGACTGACAAACCGTACTCAATGAGTAGTCCTAAATGGATCTAAGTCTACATGGAGGGAAGTAAGCAGTGGTGTGCCACCGGTTCCATCTTAGGTCCAGTACTCTTCAATATCTTCATTAACGACTTAGATGAGGGAATAGAAGGGGAACTTACCAAATTTGCAGATGATACTAAGCTGGCAGGAATAGCTAACACCCAAGAAGATAGGCTCAAAATCCAGATGGATCTTGACAGACTAGAACACTGGGCTGTATTTAACAAAATGAAATTCAATATAGAGAAAAGTAAAGTCCTACACTTAGGCAAGAAAAACCAAAAGTACACATATAGACTAGGTGAAACCAGTCTTAATAGCAGTAACTGTGAGAGGGATCTTGGAGTCTTAGTGGACAACCAGCTAAATATGAGCAAGCAGTGTGCAGCAGCAGCCAAAAAAGCTAATGCAATCCTAAATTGTATTAAAAGAGGGATACAATCCCTGTTACTATTACAAGGAGGCAGTATTCACATCAACCACAGCTGAATTTAAAAAGACTGATCAGCATCCAGATTAAGTTCCCATGGTACAGATTTTTTTTTCAGTAGTTGATGATTTTTCAGTACATGAGTTTACATTTACCCAGTAATTATAATTCATGAAGTGTCATTTTACCTCCAATACTGCTGCTTTCAACATAGCAGCTGATTTCTACACAGTAGCTGTTCTCTACACATGTGTGACTGGTCCGCATAAGTACATTATGACGCCAACCCTGTCATATACACCTGTATTTGTACGGGGTGTATGTGATGGGGTTGGCAAGATGATGTCATCATGATGGGGACTCGTATGTGGAAGTATCTGCATGTGGGCAGACCAGCCTAAGATGGATAGAGGACCGGTGTCCTGATTCCTGAGACCATCAAAAATATGTGTTTTCCGATGGTCTTAGGAAACCCCTGTGAAAGGGTCGTTCAACCCCCAAAGGGGTCACAACCCACAGGTTGAGAACCACTGCTATAAAGTCTTAGCAACCATACCTAGAGTACTGCATCCAGTTTTGTTCACCACATTATAAAAAAGATGTTGAGACTTGAGAAAAAGTACAGAGAAGAGCAACCAGGTTAATTAGGGAACTGGAGACTAAAACATTTGACGAATGGTTTCAGGAACTGGGTTTGGCTAGTCTAGTAAGGAGAAGAACCAGGGACACATGATAGCAGTCTTCCAATATTTGAGGGGCTGCCACAGGGAGGAAGGGGTCAAGCTATTTTCTAAAACACCTGTAGGCCAGACAAGGAATAATGGATGGAAACTGAACAAGGAGAGATTTAACCTGGAAATAAGGAGAAACATTCTGACAGTGAGAACAATCAACCAATGGAACAGCTTGCCCTCGGAAGATTGGGTAGTTCTGCTTTTTGCAAATATTGTTTACCTTTTCCTTCTTCAACATTCTCTTGATCATATAACTTCTCATAATACTTCTGTACTATTTCTTTTTTTCTTCATTCCCATAGCAAACCATTCCATGTTCATTTATTAATTGTGCTATCCTTTTCCATTCTCTCTCCTTTTTCAATTTAAATAAACCATCTACCTGGTTTATTTTCATTTTCAAAAAAAATCTGTTTGGCTGTCCTAATTTTCTTCAAATCTTTTTCCATCAGCCCAATTTTATGCTTAACTATTTCCATTTGACTTTTAAGATTTTTTTTGTGTTTATCTTTGTAGTTCTTTCTCCAGTTTCTTGTAATCCTCTTCTAAGATCTGTTGTGCTTGTCTTTTTTGCTATTCCTTTTCTTGTATAAGTTATTATCAGACTTCTGATATAAGCCTTCATAGTGTCCCATACATTTTGTAATGAAGTTTCCTTCTTTTTATTTTCTTTAAAGAAGAAAGCCAGTTCTTTTTCCATATTTTTTATAAATTCTTTTTCCTTCAAAATTGAGTTGTTCAGAGTCCATCTTTAATTGAAAGATCTCTGTTGTGGGTGAGATGAGGGCATTTATGATCATGCAAGATGATGTCCCAATGTATAGTTAGATCTGAATACAGAATGAATTATTTTGTTTATTTGCTATATTGTCTTTCGTATTAGTGTCACAGTTTTCAATTTCAATTTTTAAAAACCTTATGTGTGTATTACCCTTCATTTTTAAAAAGGAGCAACTCTTTGAGGCTGGTTGGGCTGAATGAGTCCAACATATACCACACAGGCTCTCAAAATTATTTCTAGAGAGAAATAACATTTAAATTATCATGCTTTCTTAGAAACCAAAATGCTTTTGCTCAGATGAATTTGAATTTCTTACCCAAAAATGTTCATGAGCATTTCCATTGTAATTTTTGGTGATGTTCATTGATATTCATTCACTCACAAATACTAATGTGTGAAATAATTTAACATAAGATTGTAATGGTGAAGTGAAATCTCAAATATGGATAAAAGATACCTAGGACTTTTAATCCTGGGATTTTGTTTAATCAAAAGAAACCTAGATCAGATCTTTCACTAGACAGGAGTGTTGCATTTATTTATTTATTTAATCAAATTTCAAAGCCTCCCTTCTCACAGAGAGAGTTGTGTGGAACTGTTGTTCATTTAAGTGATAATTATAGAAACTATACAATAATAATTGCAACTTTTATCTCCATTACAAGGGAACTGCCTCTGTTCCAGATCTTACTGTTCAAGATTTATGGGTACTCATATTGTACTTTCCAGATTATTACCCTCTGTAGTGTTTCAGATCCTTCCAAAACCATGACCTCCTCATAAATTATATTTAGCTGCTTGGTACTTTAAAAAAAAGCCAAAATTTATTAGAAACAAAAGAGAGATGAGCTGCTGAAGCCACCAGCGCAAGGTGAGGTGTGTGAGTGGCCTTGCTGTGGGGGCCCTGCAGTAAGCCTTGCTTAGCCTTTGGGACAGTTCTACTCCCCCACCTAGTGGCAAGCAAGCAGAAATGTGCCTCCTGTCCATGGAAGAAAAATAAGACACTTCCTGAAAATAAGCCCTAGTGCCTACTTTGTGGCCCAAAATAAAATAAGACCCAATCTTATTTTTGAGGAAACATGGTACTTTTCCTCACCTTGGTGATTTTTTTCTGATCAGGATAAGTCAATTCTGGTGAAATCTTTATACTAACGCTCAGGATGAAGCATAAGGCAATTCAGAAAAAACATTTATTTAATCTATATAGACCTACCAAACTCAACAAGCAGTCAGGAATGTTATTTTACATACTTGATTCAGTATTCTAGGATTGCTTTCATAAACTGCTTTGATCTAATACCTTCTTGGAAATTTTCTGTAAACTTTTCAAGAGTGGGAAGCACAACCCAAATCATTTAAACCAGAAAGTAAATAAATAGATAAATAAATAAATCTTCACTTTTTTTCCTATATAAAACTTTAATAAGAACATTAGCTTATTTAGATGGAATTTCAGGAATTTGGCTATTAATTTACTTGTCTCATTTAATTATCTTCATTTTTTCCTAAGGGACTCTTTTTTGTAAGCGTTCTTCCTGAAAACATAACTTTGATATGTAAAGGTAGACCTCAACTTAAAACAGTTCTTTCAATGACCTTTCAAAGTTACAATGGCACTGAAAAAAATTGACTTATGATCATTTTTCACACATGACTGATGCAGAATCCTCAAGATTTTGTGATCACAGTTCAGATGCTCGGCAACTGACTCATATTTATGATGGTTGCAGTGTCCTGGAGTCACATGATCATATTTTGGAACCTTCTGGCAAGCAAAGACAATGGGGAAGCCAGGTTTATGAAACTTAATGACTGCAGTGATTCACTTACCAACTATGGCCACAAAGAACTTAAAATTAATTTAATAACTGTCTCATTTAGCAACATAAATTTTGGGCTCACTTGTGGTCGTAACTTGAGGACTACATGTATACTTCTCCTAGGAATACAGATCTACAAATTCTGAAAAGAGTTGTTTTAGTGTATGATCAGTTTCTCTTTCTCTTCCATTTCCAAGGGAAAGCACGCATTATAATGGATCCAAAAACATACACTGAAAATAAAGGAATTTGCCAAAAGACATGTTCTAAAGTTCGCAAGAACATAGGAATCTGTAAAGGCACCCAGTTTTGCTGCCAAGAGTAAGGTCCTGAAACTGAAATATTCCTAAAATTTATTTCATTTTGTCTCATAATTAGGATAAGTCAGATCATTCCACCTTGTGTCCATGCCAGTTCTCCTTATAAAGTTATACCTCTTCAGTACCAAATTCATCATGCCAATGGGTAAAATAAGCATCACTTTCTTGGAGCAGCCTCCACAAAGTCCTTGTAACAGAAGCATCTATCAGACTACATAAGCAAGCCTTTAAATGTCCATTAGATGAGGACTGCCTTCCATGCAAATTTAAACCCTGTCACATCAGACATCAAACTTGCAAAAGCCTCTTTAGTTTAGATAACTTCAATGAATGAGTAGATGCCTCTTTTGCTGGGATGTCAGAAGTGTGGGTTTTTGGCAAGGCTTAAGGAAACTTTAATACCTCTTTTCTAGTGGCAATCTGTATTCAATTTCTAAAAATTAAAATACAGAGATTCCTACTAATGCCATTCCTACATAGAGGAAAATATTCTATTCTTTGCAACTTTCATGTATGTATGTGTGTATGTGTGTATGTGTGTGTGTGTGTGTGTGTGTGTATACACACACACACACACACACATTTTAATACATTTTAAAGCTGAAAATTTCAGCACAAAGTCCACCATGAAGAATAATTAAATCAGATTTGTTTTCTCTCAGAAGAAAGCAAATGAAATGGTTTCCTTAAAAATGCAGAGCATTTGGAAACTTCAATCATCTTTCTCCATGTTTTTACTGAATGAAACTTCTTTGCAGAATTGGAAAGGGGTGTGTGGAAAGGGCATTCACACCACACACCCAGCCTTCAGACCTTTCTGGGATTTCCACTATCACATTTTTCTACCCGATTTTCTGTGAATGGGAGGGAGGGACAGCATCCCTAAGAGAAAGGCTTCCAACTGTGGGATGGGGGATTACTTGCTGACACCCATTCTTCAATGGAGGAATGTTCCCCTCTCCTGGAAGAGCCAAATGAGAAATCTCACTTTCTCGGTTATAAGCGTCCAATTGAATGGATCTAGTTTCTCCTCCTTTTATCATGAATTTCAGACTAAAAGACTTTTCAGAATGCCTGGTGCTTGTGTGCACACCAAACAATAGAATAAGAAAAATGGATTAAAAGATAATAAAGATACCAAAATAAAAATGTGAAATGGTACTTTAACTATAAACAGTTACCTGAGCTTGAGATCTGCATATCAAAGGTAGACACTGATTATTTCTAAACGAATGAATAAACAGAGTGGATTGGAATGTTGATCAAACTAACCACATCTGAGTAAGGTGACTGAAATGAAACAAAGAATTTCTTGCATGGTTAAATCAATGTTTGCTGCCAATCTAAACATGCTGGTTCCAATATTCCCACAATTTTTAGACTCAGGACTGAGCTTCCATACATTCCCCATCCTCAAGTCCTTTGCTTTCTGACTCTAGAGCTGTATCTCATTGAGAACCAAACATACACAAACATAGAGAGAGATGTACAAAATATACCAATTTCTCACCCCATAAATCCCAGTTTCTGCCTCTGAAAGGAAGCACTGTGACAATGGTTACACTTGAAAGACTGACGAATAGAAAGGAAATCTGGAATGTTTTCAGATATTGCTGGCATGATATAATAGGAACCAGGAATTCCTTCTCTATTAGAAAAGAAGAAAGCATTTGGAGGAAGAAAAAATTGATGAGAATATGGACTTCCTTTCCATTAACACTAAAGGCAAAATGTTCTACGGTGATCTATAGATTTATTGCCTCTTTACTGTCCATATCAAACTATGGGTGGAATGGAACATGGGATAAATTTTATGGTTGGCTAGAGACGAGGAAGATCCATGAGAATAAGGAATGAATATACATATATTCAAAGTGTATAGATGGAAATTAATATTACTATTGGATTTAGTGATGTAATGACAATGATTGATGTTAGGGAAACTGTACCATGTTCAACTTTTTTATTGTAAGATTTGTGTGTGTTTGTGTTTGTTTATTTGTTTAATAAAGAAAATTTTTAAATAAAAAAAACTGTGGGTGGAATGGAATAAATGCCATAAATTACTGTTCTGAAATATTGAACAATTGGAAAATATGAAATATGTGGCTTTAACGGATCTTGCATAAGGTATTTCTTTTTCCAGTTTGACTTTTTTATTAGGTTATAAGATAAAATATAAAATACAAAAGTAAATAGGAAGACACAGTGGGGTGGGGAGGGGGAGGAAAAGGTGTGAAGAAACTGGGGAAGAGAAAAGAAGAAACATTGATTTCTAACTCCCTCTGTTGCAGTAAAAAAGCATTAACATGAAACCAAAACTTTTTGTTTTTCCATAATAATATAAACTAGCCATTTCTATAAAAATGCATCAATCTAACCAGTAAAACCCAAAATCAGAGTTTCAGTTTTTTCCACCTCAACATGGTCTCCATGTGGAAACAAGGGTACCTAAATTTTTTTCTTTAATCAAAATGGTCAATTTAGCCATTTCTGCTAACTCCATCAGCTTCTGTAGCCATTTGACAATAGTGGGAATTGAACTGTCTTTCCATTTTTGTGTTCTCAAGATATATAAAATCAAAGATAATTTTTTTCTTTCCAAGTCTTTTTCCATTAAACCCCCCAAAAACTTCTGGTTTCATTTTTATTTTAGCTTTAAGAATTTTCTGTATTATAATATGAACCTTACTCCAAAATTTCTTTGCTTTGTCACATGTCCACCATAAATGGTAAAAAGTTCCTTCTTTGCTATTTTTGTCATTAATCGTAATGCAAAGAAGTAGAAGTAGAAGGTGCCAACGACGTCTGCCTTGGTGAGATGCTCTCTAATGGTTTCTTTATTCCTTATTATTATCTGCAATTCACTACGGATTTCATACTCACAAGACCATCTGCTAAGAATTAGGCAATGTTTCCTTAAGGAGCAGCTTTCTGATTCCCCACCCCCACCTGTCTTTGCAAACACGGAGGAGATTCTAACCAATTCCCCTGCGCTATGGATTACAACAAAGAAAGCAAAGAAGTGACCGCGCCAGAAGAGGAGACGAGGCAAACGAGTGGGAATTTTAAACAGACTAAGGAATAGGGAGGAAAAAAAACCCTGTCCCTTCAATCTTTCTGACTAATTTATGCTCACTGCCTAACAAAATGGAGGAAATTCATCTCTTAAATAGATAGAATTCTGATTTTCATAATTCAGCTGTTCTTTGTTTTACTGAAACCTGGCTTAATCCACAAATTCATGGGGACAATACCATATACATCCCAGGATTTCAGACATTTAGATCAGACAGAATTGAAGAGACATCAGGTAAAACAAAGGGTGGAGGATTATGTTTATATATCAACAACAGCTGGTCTCAAGATATAACTATAATATATAAGTTTTGTGATGAAAACTTAGAGTCTTTACACATCAACTGCAAGCCATTTTACTCTCCATGTGAGTTCTCCTCATTTCTCCTAATAGGTGTGTATGTTCCTCCACAAGCCTGTGTAAACAAGGCATTGCAAACTCTTGCTGATCAAATTATGGCAGCTGAAGCCAAACACCCAGGTTCCCTTCCCATTATTTTAGGAGATATCAAGCAAGCAAATGTAAGGAAAGAGCTCCCAAAATATTTCCAGCAAGTAAATTGTCCCACCAGAGGCAATACTTTAGACCACTGCTACACAACAGTAAAAGATACTTATAGGTCTTTACCACAAGCAGCTGTGGGACACTCTGTCCACTGCATAATTCACCTTGTACCTGACTACAGACAAAGACTTAAAACCATTAAACCAACAATTAAATCAGACTTGGTCAGATGAGGCAAAGCTGAAACTCCAGGCCTGCCTTGATTGCACTGATTGGAATGTTTTTGAAGATGCCTCTGCAGATTTAGATGAGCTCACAGATACTGTAACATCACATATTAGCTTCTGTGAAGACTTATGTGTACCAACAAGGAACCTGCAAATATATAGTAACAATAAACCTTGGTTCACAGCTAAACTTAAGCAGCTACATCATTCCAAAGAGGAAGCCTACAGAAAAGGTGACAGAATGCTATACAACCAGGCCAGAAACGTATTAACAAGAGAGATCAGAGCGGCAAAAAGAAGCTACTCTGAAAAGTTAAGGAATCAGTTCTCAACAAATGAACCAGCAAACATGTGGAAAACTCTTAAAAAGATCACTGGCTTCAGCAAACCTCCTTCCCAGGCAGAAGGAAATCAATAACTAGCAGATGACTTGAATGTGTTTTACTATAGGTTTGAAAATAAACTACAGCCACCTATCTCCACAACCCACATCTCAAACACACCAACAGCAGCCAAGCCTCCTACAACTGGCCCCAATCCATTGGGTTCATAACCTCTGGTGATCACAGAAAAAGAAGTGCAAGATCTATTACATAGACAGAAGCCAGGAAAAGCACCAGGGCCAGACAAGATAACTCTTTCTTGCTTAAAAGTCTGTGCTGACCAATTGGCCCCCATCTTCACTCAAATCTTCAATAGATCACGAGAGATGTGCTTTGTTCCTTCCTGTTTCAAATGTTCTACCAGCATCCCAGTGCCAAAGAAGCCCTCCACCAAGGAACTGAATGACTACAGACTAGTTGTTCTAACATCTGTAGTTATGAAAATCTTTGAAAGACTTGTGCTGTCCCACCTGAAAACCATCATGGATCCGCTGTTAGATCCCATGCAGTTTGCATACTGAGCAAATAAATCGATAGATGATGCTGTTATCATGGCTCTGCATTACATCCTACAACACCTTGAATCTCCAAATACCTACACAAGGGTCCTCTTTGTAGACTTCAGTTCAGCATTCAATACCATCATTCTAGACACTCTTCTAAGTAAATTAAACCAACTAGCGGAGCCTGAACACACTTGTAAGTGGATCATAAGCTTCCTAACAGACAGGAAACAGCAGGTGAAGCTAGGTGGAATCACATCTGATACCTATACAATCAGCGTAGGGGGCCCCCAAGGCTGTGTGCTATCTCCACTTCTCTTCTCCCTATATACCAATGAGTGCATCTCAAATGATCCATCTGTTAAAATACTGAAGTTTGTTGATGACACAACAGTGATTGGTCTCATTCGAGACAATGGTGAATCTGCATACAGACAGGAGGTTATACAACTTGCCTCATGGTGTAACCGGAACAATCTGGAACTGAATACACTCAAAACTGTAGAAATGGTGGTAGTCTTTAGAAGAAACCCTCCTTTACTACGGTTAGGAATGTAAGTCACCTAACAGTTATTTGGGTTGGAAATATATAAACTAGGTTAGACATTTTAATACTGTATCTTTAAGAGAATCCTAAAACTGTAACTGGGTGTGGTTTCTCAAACGGCCATAAGATGGAGCCAGAAACCTAGGTTGTTTAGTCTCAGTGAATTCTTTCTGTTGGAGAGAGTTGCCGTTCCTCCTAATGACCGTTACTGATCGTTGATGTAAGTCTGTTACTGAACTGTTTCTGATACTGGACTTTGATATTTGGATTATCCCTGAACTGAAAACTGACTACTTTAACTGTGAATGACTTGGACTGCTTCTTTGGACTTTGCTTAAACATTTATTGGAAGTAAAACCCTACATTTTACTATACAGTGTATCTCTGTGCTAGTTGTGTGGTATTCTTCACTTCTCTCACTACGTATCCCTGCACTCATTCTCCTAATGGGGAAATACCTCAACACTGGTTATGAGCCCAGGCCATACCAGGCTCAGATAACTGCGAGATGGTGTGAATACACAGTAACGTATACAGACAGCTGCTTACTATTTAATTGTGGGTTACTATCCTGGTAAAGATGGCACAAGACACTTCAACAAGTCTATCACTGATAACCCAGTTGGATGAAACAAACTATGTTTCCTGGTACATGAATTGCAGTCTACTTCTGTGTAGAGAAGGGTTATGGAATATAGTTCAAAATCCACTGGATGTAAATGCTTGGGATCCAGAAAATGAGGATGATGCCAAGAAGCTTGCTGATTTTAAACAGAACAACAAACGAGCTCTTTGTATAATTGGACTAACAGGAAGGAACTGATATTTTCAGAGCTGCATCAAGTTTACATCATTCTTTTCTCATTGGACGAAAGTTATGATAATTATGTATCTTCACTGGAAGTCCTGACCAGAGATAAACTGACATTGACTGACATAACCGGAAGGTTGTTGGAAGAGGCAAGAAGATGGCTGGATAGAGACCAATTGAGGAAGGAACAACCACAAGAAGAGGATTTGTCTTCAACTGCCCATACTGTTAGGAAATGTTTTTCTTGTGGGGCTAGGGGACATATAGCTGGATTCTGTAAGAAGGGAAAACAACAGAATACTGGTAATCACCAGAAGGCCAAGAAGAATGTTAGTTTACCTATGTCTAGCAATTCAACTGTAAACCATGATTTGTGGGTTGTTGATAGTGGAGCATCACAGTGCATTACTAAAGATAGAAAGAGGTTTGTAAAGATGTCTATGAGTAAGCAACATGTATCATTGGCAAATGGATGGAAGATGAACACCTCTGGTGAAGGTACTGCATATTGTTCTTGTGTAAACGAGCATTTAACTATGTTATATGTACCTAAACTGAAATTTAATTTATTATCAGTAAGTTAATATTGGTTATGTAGTAACCTTTAGGTGAGATAACTGTATAATAGAGAAAGAGGGTAAACATGTTACTGCTACTTTAGATAATGATTTATATGTGATACATGATGACCATTGCAAATGGCTAACTCACTTTATAACAATGTTAAGCCACATGATGAAATGTATACATTTACTACATAGACGTTTTGGGCACATTAATTTCAAAATGCTGAAACAAACTGTTGAATTGTCAGAGGGAGTAAAATTGAAACCCTGTAGCAAGTATTTAAATGTAATGCTTGTAGTCAGGAGAAAAGTAAGGTTACTCCTGCAAACACACTTAATGGATTTAAGACCAAAGAACATTTAGAGGTTGTTTTTGCAGACATAATTGGTCCTAAGAAACCCAGTTTAGGAGGTGCCTGTTATGTTTTGAGTATAATGGACCATTACTCACAATACGGTTTCTGCTATCTCATGAAAAACAAAACAGAAACATTCCAACATTTCTTTAACTGGCTAAGGTTTGCTGAGAGAAAAATGAGGAGTAAAGTAATTACTTTAGTTACTGATAAAGGGACTGAGTTTATTAACAAGAGATTCCAAACTATGTTGAAATTGGTTGGTATCGAGCATAAACATTCTGTACCTCACAGACTACAACATAACTCGCTTGTAGAATGAAGAGGGCAATCATTACAAGCCATGGCTCGTACTACGTTATCTGATTCAGGTTTGCCTGAAACACTGTGGGGTGAAGCCATAATGTGTAGCAACCATGTGTTAAACAATGTAGTTAACACAACAACTTGTGAATTGCCATTCACTCGTTGGCATGGCAGAAAACCAAATTTAAGTTACCTACACCATTTGGACCTCCAGCATGGGTGCATATACCCTCACAAGTAAGACTGAAAGGGCAACATAGAGCTAAGAAGTTATTTTTTGTAGGTTATGAGGCCAACCATAGATCACTTAGATTCTGGGATCAAGACACAGCTCATGTTTATTGCAGAGCTAGTGCAAAATTTCTTGAGCTCGTTGGGTGGAATAAGCCGGAACAGGAATCCAGCAATGATGTTATTATTGACACCAAAGTAGTACCTAAAAATGAAATAAGTAAACCACAAATAGCCATTAAAGAGGAAGAACAGGAGGAAGTAGTAGAACAGGCACAAGAGGAGGTAGAAGAACAGGAGTAGATGGCACAGGTGAGTCCACCAGTTAGCCCTGTATTACCAAGATGTTCAACCCGTGTAACACAACCACCTGATAGATATCAGGCTAGTGAGGTATACCAAATGAATATAGTTCCGAATAACTATAATGAACTAAAACTGTATCCTGCTAAGGATCAGGCTGCTTGGCAGGAAGCAAGTAGTTTTCAATGCTTCCCTGTTAGGGTTGGTATAATCGGAATCTCAGGGGAACATTTTATTTCAAAGGGCAGATCAGCAACAGGAAAGATAATAAATTAAATCCATTTTAAATTTTTAAATGCCTCATTTTTGCCATTCTCAACACACTACTATTGTGTTACCAGCACCATATGTTTTTTGAAGTAAGGGAGAATACAAAAATATATGCGATAGGTAACCCAAAACTGCCTTTGTGCTGTATTACTACCAATTTTCTAGTTTCAACCTAAGAGATTTCCACAGCTTGCAACTCACATGGCATGAATTAATAATGCTCAGATGACATCACTTCTTTTCCTTATGCAGACCCTTTTCTTCACAGTGTCTCTTCACTTCAGGAATACAGAAACAGCAGCCAATTTGCAGCCATGAACATTTCATACTGTTTCACTGCTGTAATTTTTTTCTTCTTCCATGCTGCTCAGGGTGAGTGATGATTGAATAATATACTGCACAACGAACATCTTGTTGTCATAAATACTTTGATGAGAATACTATATCAATATTGAGTCCAATCTCTAGTTTCAAGAGATCATAAATTTTGCATGTTTAAACTTGGAAAAGTAGTTTAGTAGATTGGCTCATAGATTAGAGGTTAAGGAATGAGTTGGAGAAATGTTCAGCTTGCATGTTTTATTGTATGTACTTTTATTTTATGCTGACCGATATATAATCATATTTTTATACATAATGTTTTCTAGATGTAAATTTTATTTGCTGCTAAACTAAGTCTTCATTATGTAAAAGCATAAGAAAAAACCTTACAACCATATAATAGAAAGAAAAACAAATGTTTAAAAACTGAATTTGTATTTGACTTGTTTGTAAAGAATAATAGTATATTGACACAAGGAACTTTCAGAGAAGCTTTTTCATTTATATTCTTTACTCTGTAAGCCATCTGTCCCCATGGAAAATTGAGCTTGGATTTTATTTTTGTAAGAAAAATAAATTTGTCTGGACAGATAGTCCCCTTTATCCTGATGCATACCAATTTCATTATCACCTTTATCATATGTGAGGCTGGGAAGTCAAAGTAAAACTATAGTCTGAAAGGACTCCCAGGACTGTTGATAGCTAGCCACCACTGCATTATATACATTTTTGTCTGGCTGTTTCTCCCACATATTTTAGGTGAAAGCATAATATTTTGCCCTCAGCCATGTTGGCTTCAAAAAAGCTTGCATAAGTTATGTTTTAAGCAACATGCCTGCTATTTTATAAGACTCTAGGCATTTCTTTATTGGACAAATGCCTGTATAGGTAGTCCTCAATCTGTGACCAGAATTAAGCCCAAAATGTCTGTTGTTAAGCAAGACAGCCGTTAAGTGAATTTCACCCCATTTTACAATCTTTCTTGCCTTTCTTGTTAAGTGAATCATTGCAGCTGTTAAGTCAGTATCAGGGTTGTTCAGTGAATCTGGCTTCCCCATTGACTTTGCTTTCAAAAGGTCGCAAAAGGTGATCACATGACACCACAACACTGTGGCCATCTTGATTATGAGTCAGTTATCCATTTTGATCATAGGACCACAGAGATGCTGCAATGGTCATAAGTGTGAAAAACGGTTTCAAGTCACTTTTTTAGTGCTGTTGTAACTTTGAATGGCCACTTAATGAACTGCTTTAAGTCAAGGACTACCTGTATTGCACAACTCCCAGCTCAGCCATACAGCTCCTGCCCTTTTGTGTTATATAGATGGTGCAGCATACATATGCTGCACCATCTTGCCTATCTTGCCTTTGAATTGCTTGCGTAGTAATAATGCTGAAAGGATAATGTGAAGAGATTTCAGAGCTTTGATAAACATTTTCTTTTTACAGAAGAGCACTTTCTAGAAGCCATTCTACTTACTTGTGCATCAATGGGTGGATTCTGCATTCTACAACCCAATGAGACCTGTCCTTCAGGTGTCCTCCTGGATGTGCCTTGTCATTTCAGAAGAAGGTGTTGTTCAAAGACTGATGTTTAACTCCCATCCTTAGGTATTTATTGGATAAATAATCTATGGATTGCCCCAATATAGCTTTCATCTGTTCCACTAGTTAGCTGTTGCTGATTTGTCATGGTATTTTCTACTTGTGATAGGTAACTATGTTAATCAGTCAAGCCTCTCCAGAATTTGGATAGTAATCATTCAAAATTTCTTTTCTGTATATGCTATATCCCACTTTGCTATCACCATTGACAACTCCATATCTTTTGCCACAGCCACATTTATATTTCTAGATCCCTCACTACGTATTTAATGACCCATAATTCATTTGGATGGAATCCTGATGTTCAATAACAACAAAGAGAAAGAATAGGATTTCCTCAGTGAAAAATTGAAAGCAGACAATTGTTTTCCAAATTAAGGAAATTAAATTGTCAGTGAATTCTGAGGAAAATTAAAATTGAAAGTTAAAGTCTTAAAATGAGAAACAGAAAAAAGTATATCTCCTGGAATCAGGAAAGGGCAAGTCCCCAATGGAAAAAAAATTGTCCACAGTTTCATGACATTGTTTGATTACTTCAACTTACTGATTTATGGACTACTGGAAGAGATCCCATTTGCCTTGTCAACTAGATTTAAATTATC